GCTGGAGCATCCCGGGGTACCGGGAGGGTTTGGGGGGGGTCCCGGGTGGGATTTGGGGAGCTCGAGGGGGGTCGCTCAGGGTGAGGGAGGGTCGCGCCTGGGTGTCCCCCTCCTCTCCCGGACGGCCGGGCCCCTCCCCCCGGGGTGGCTGGAGCATCCCTGGCGAGCGGGGGTGGGGACACGGCGGATTTGGGGGGGCTGGGGGGGTGGGATGGACCGGGACCGCCCCCCCCGGTGCGGGGGGGTTTGGGGGGGTGGGATGGATCAAACCGGGACCGCCCCCCCCCGGTGCGGGGGGATTTGGGGGTCGGGCTGGGGGATGTGAATCCGGAGGTCACGGCTGGAATTTGGGGAGGGGGCGGTGGCGCTTCCCCGCCTCGGGTTTTGGGGACCTCCCCCCCCGCCCTCGGTTTGGGGAGGGGGCGGATTTGGGGGTCCCGAGGCCAGGTGGAGACGGAGCGCGCTCCCTGGCGGCGCGGAGGGCTCGCTGGGAATGGGCGTTCCCGGGGGCGTGGCTCCCACAAAGGGGGTGGTGCTTGCATGAAAGGGGGGGGGTCCCGGCGGGGGGGATTTGGGGCGGGGGTCACTTGTAGAGGATGTCGTAGTGGCCGGGGCGGTAGAGGAGGCAGACGCGGGGCTGGGAGCCCTCGGGGAACACGTGCGGGTTGGTGGCGCCGCCCTCGCCCCGGTCCATGTACTCCACCAGGATGGAGACGTGCAGCGCCCGCGCCAGCGCGATGATGTGGATGTGGTCACTCTCCTTGGACATGGGCTCCACCTCCTGGGGGGACACAGAGGGGACAATGGTCAGGGGACACACAGGGGACAGTGGTCACTCTCCTTGGACATGGGCTCCACCTCCTGAGGGGACAAAGAGGGGACAATGGTCAGGGGACACACAGGGGACAGTGGTCACTCTCCTTGGACATGGGCTCCACCTCCTGAGGGGACAGAGAGGGGACAAACAGGGGACAGTGGTCAGTGTGATGATGTGGATGTGGTCACTCTCCTTGGACATGGGCTCCACCTCCTGAGGGGACAGAGAGGGGACAAAGAGGGACAGTGGTCAGTGAGGTGTCCGTATGGATGTGGTCACTCTCCTTGGACAGGGGCTCCACCTCCTGGGGGGACAAACAGGGGACAGGGGTCAGGGGACACACAGGGGACAGTGGTCAGTGAGGTGTCCGTGTGGATGTGGTCACTCTCCTTGGACATGGGTTCCACCTCCTGGGGACAAACAGGGGACAGGGGTCAGGGGACACAGAGGGGACAGTGGTCAGTGAGGTGTCCGTGTGGATGTGGTCACTCTCCTTGGACATGGGTTCCACCTCCTGGGGACAAACAGGGGACAGGGGTCAGGGGACACAGAGGGGACAGTGGTCAGTGAGGTGTCCGTGTGGATGTGGTCACTCTCCTTGGACATGGGCTCCACCTCCTGAGGGGACAAACAGGGGACAAACAGGGGACAGTGGTCAGTGAGGTGTGGGGGACACAGAGGGGACAGAGAGGGGACGGTGGTCACTGGGGTGTGAGGGACAGAGGGGACACGGAGACACAGTGGTCAGTGAGGTGTGGATGTGGTCACTCTCCTTCCACGTGGGTACACGTCCAGGTGCCCCAGGTGCTCCAGATCTCGTTACAGAGGTGGCCCCGGTGCCCCTCACAGTGCCAGACGGTGCCCAGGTGCCCCTGGTACAGTGCCCAGGTGCCCCAGATGCCCCTCACATGATGCCCCAGATGCCCCTCACAGGGCGCCCAGGTGCCAGGTGGCCATACCTGCTGGCAGAGCTGCCAGGTGCCCCTCAGTGCCAGATGGTGCCCAGGTGCCCCCCAGGTGTCCCAGATCTGGTTACAGAGCTGCCAGGTGCCCCCCAGGTGCCCCTCACCTGGTGCCCGGGTGCCAGGTGGCCGTACCTGCTGGCAGAGCTGCCAGGTGCCCCAGATCTGGTGACAGAGGTGCCCCAGGTTCCCCAGGTAGGGTGCCCAGGTGCCCCTCACCCAGCACCCAGGTGCCAGGTGCCCCTCACATGATGCGCTGGCTGCCCGTCACAGAGTGCCCGGGTGCCAGGTGGCCGTACCTGCTGGCAGAGCTGCCAGGTGCCCCCTAGGTGCCCCAGATGTGGTGACAGAGGTGCCCAGGTGCCCCTCACTCGGTGCCCAGGTGCCTCAGTTGCCCCTCACCCAGTGCCCAGGCGGCTGTACCTGCTGGCAGAGCTGCCAGGTGCCCCAGGGGTGCCAGGTGCCTGTACCTGCTGGCAGAGCTGCCAGGTGCCCCAGATCTGGTGACAGAGCTGCCAGGTGCCCCAGATCTGGTGACAGAGCTGCCAGGTGCCCCCCAGGTGCCCCACATCTGGTTACAGAGGTGCCAGGTGCCCCCCAGGTGCCCCTCACCTGGTGCCCAGGTGCCCCAGGTGCCCCTCACATGATGCCCCAGGTGCCCCTGACCCGGTGCCCAGGTGCCTGGTGGCCGTACCTGCTGGCAGAGCTGCCAGGTGCCTCTCAGGTGCCCCAGACCTGGTGACAGAGGTGCCCAGGTGCCCCTCACCCGGTGCACAGGTGCCCCAGGTGGCCGCACCTGCTGGCAGAGCTGCCAGGTGCCCCAGACCTGGTGACAGAAGTGCCCAGGTGCCCCAGGTACAGTGCCCAGGTGCCCCCCAGGTGCCCCTGACCCGGTGCCCAGGTGCCTGGTGGCCGTACCTGCTGGCAGAGCTGCTAGGTGCCCCCCAGGTGCCCGGTGGCCGTACCTGCTGGCAGAACTCCTTGATGCTGCGGCCGCCCTCCAGGAACTGCTCGAAGAAGCGCCGGTGGCGCTGCAGGCAGCCCGAGGTGAGCAGGCGCAGGTAAACCACCAGGTAATCCGACGTGGCCGGCTCGTTGAACGCCGCCAGCAGCTCCGGCAGCGGCACGCGGCGCTCCACGCGCTCGATCAGCTCCATCAGCTGGGGACACACTTGTGTTACACCTGTGTGTCACCTGTGTCATCTGTCACACCTGCTCCACGCGCTCGATCAGCTCCATCAGCTGGGGACACACTTGTGTTACACCTGTGTGTCACCTGTGTCACCTGTAACACCTGGGTCACACCTGTGTCACCTGTCACACACGCCTGGCACACCTGTGTCACACCTGTGTCACACCCGTGTCACACCCGTGTCACACACACACGGCGCTCCACGCGCTCGATCAGCTCCATCAGCTGGGGACACACCTGGGTCAGGTGTGTGTCAACACGTGGCGCTCCACGCGCTCGATCAGCTCCATCAGCTGGGGGGACACCTGGGTCACACCTGTGTCACACCTGTGTCACACACACCTGTCTCACACCTGTCTCACCCCTCTTAAACCCCCCGAAACCCCTCATAGCCCCCCAACCCCACCCCAGACCCCCCNNNNGGGTTCAGGGGGCACCCAAAGGGGGTCTGGGGGGGCACAGGAGGCTCGGGGGGGCACCCACAGGGGTCTGGGGGGGTCTTAGGGGGGGCGTTTCGGGATGTTTTGAGGGACCCCCGGCGGTGAGTTTGGAGTGGCTGGGCTATTTTTGGGGTCCCCCGGGTATTTTTGGGGTATTTTGGGAGTCCCAGGGAGCGTTTTAGGGGCATTTTTGGGATTCGGGGGTGTTTTGGGCTGGTTTTGGGGTCTTTTCAGGGTGTTTTGGGCTGTTTCAGGTTGGTTTTGGGCTATTTTTGCGCTGGTTTGGGGTGTTTTGGTGTTCCCCAGGTTATTCTTGGGGTATTTTAGGGTTCCCCAGATTATTTTCAGGGTGTTTTGGGCTACTTGCAGGGTATTTTGGGCTGGTTTTGGGTATTTTGGGCTGTTTCACGCTGGTTTTAGGCTCTTTCTGGGGTATTTTGGGCTGGTTTTTTGGGGCATTTTGGGCTTGTTTTGGGGTATTTTCAGGCTGTTTTTGGGTATTTTCAATCAGTTTTGGGTATTTTCAGGCTGTTTTTTGGGTTATTTTGGCTTTTTTTGGTATTTTCAGTCTGTTTCGGGGTATTTTGGGCTGTTTTGGGGTATTTTCAGGCTGTTTTTGGCTACTTTCAGTCTGGTTTTTTGGTATTTTCGGGCTGTTTTTGGGTTATTTTGGCCTGGTTTTGGGTTATTTTGGCCCGGTTTTTGGGTATTTTGGGCTGTTTGGGGTTATTTTGGGCTGGTTTTGGGTTATTTTGGCCCGGTTTTTGGGTATTTTGGGCTGTTTTTGGCTATTTTCAGTCCAGTTTTTTTGTATTTTGGGCTGTTTTCAGGTTATTTTGGCCCGGTTTTGGGTTATTTTGGGCTGTTTTGGGTTATTTTGGGCTGTTTTGGATTATTTTGGCCCGGTTTTGGTGTATTTTGGGCTGTTTTTGGCTATTTTCAGTCCGGTTTTTTTGTATTTTGGGCTGTTTTGGGTTACTTTGGCCGGGTTTTGGGTTATTTTGGGCTGGTTTTGGTTATTTTGGCCTGGGTTTGGGGTACTTTGGGCTGTTTTTGGGGTATTTTGGGCTGGTTTTGGGTATTTTGGCCCGGGTTTGGGGTACTTTGGGCTGTTTTGGGGTATTTTCAGGGTGGTTTTGGGTATTTTGGGCTGTTTTGGGTTATTTTGGCCCGGTTTTGGGGTACTTTGGGCTGTTTTGGGTATTTTGGGCTGTTTTGGGTTATTTTGGCCCGGTTTTGGGTTATTTTGGGCTGTTTTGGGTTATTTTGGGCTGTTTTGGATTATTTTGGCCCGGTTTTGGTGTATTTTGGGCTGTTTTTGGCTATTTTCAGTCCGGTTTTTTTGTATTTTGGGCTGTTTTGGGTTACTTTGGCCGGGTTTTGGGTTATTTTGGGCTGGTTTTGGTTATTTTGGCCTGGGTTTGGGGTACTTTGGGCTGTTTTTGGGGTATTTTGGGCTGGTTTTGGGTATTTTGGCCCGGTTTTGGGGTACTTTGGGCTGTTTTGGGTATTTTGGGCTGTTTTGGGTTATTTTGGCCCGGTTTTGGGTTATTTTGGGCTGGTTTTGGTTATTTTGGCCCGGGTTTGGGGTACTTTGGGCTGCTCTGCCCTCACCGCTGCAGCTCCTGGCCGTCCTCCAGCAGCGCCTCCAGGTGCGCGAAGCCGAAGGCGCGGTAGAAACAATTCCCGTCCGGCCGCGTCTTCCGGATGTAGGAATACTTCTGCAGCAGGTCCTGGGGATACCGGGGACATCAGGGGGACACTGGGGACAACCCGGGGACAGCAGGGGGACAGCGGGGACATCAGGGACACCGGGGACATCAGGGACATCAGGAACACCAGGGACATCAGGGGGACAGTGGGGACATCACGGGGACACCGGGGACAACCCGGGGACACCGGGGACATCAGGGACAGCACAGGGACACCGGGGACATCACGGGGACACCGGGGACAACCCAGGGACAGCAGGGGGACATTGGGGACACCGGGGACATCAGGGACAGCGGGGACATTGGGGACACCGGGGACATCAGGGGGACATTGGGGACATGAGGGGGACACCGGGGACATGAGGGACACCGGGGACATCAGGGACACCTGGGACATCAGGGACATCAGGAACACCGGGGACATTGGGGACAGCCCCAGGACAGCACAGGGACACCGGGGACACCAGGGGGACATCAGGGACACCGGGACACCAGGGACCCTGGGGACATCAGGGACATCGGGGACATCAGGGACAGCACAGGGACACCGGGGACATCAGGGACATCAGGGACATCGGGGATATCGGGGACATCAAGGACACCGGGGACAGCCCCAGGACACTGGGGACATCCCTGGGGACAGGGACATCAGGGACAGCCCGGGGACACCGGGGCAGCCCGGGGACAAACCGGGGACACCAGCGACACCGGGGACAGCAGGGACAGGGACACCTGGGGACACTGGGGACAGCCGGGACATCACTGGGGACAGGGACACCAGGGACAGCACAGAGACAGCCCGGGAACATCAGGGACATCAGGGACAGCCTGGGGACACTGGGGACAGCCTGGGGACACTGGGGACACTGGGGACAGCCCCAGGACACTAGGACATCATGGACAGCCCGGGGACATCAGGGGGACACTGGGGACATCAGGGACACCAGGGGGACATGAGGGACATCGGGGACACGAGGGGGACACCGGGGACATCAGGGACAGCGCGGAGACGGGGACACCTGGGGACAGTACAGGGACACCGGGGACATCAGGGACAGTCTGGGGACATCCCTGGGGACAGGGACGCCAAGGACAGCCCGGGGACATCAGGGACAGCGGGGACATCAGGGACACTGGGGACACCTGGGGACATTGGGGACAGCCCCAGGACAGCACAGGGACATCAGGGACACCGGGGGGACACTGGGGACATCAGGGACAGCGCGGAGACGGGGACACCTGGGGACACCTGGGGACATCAGGGGGACATCGGGGACAGCCTGGGGACATCCCTGGGGACAGGGACGCCAGGGACAGCCCAGGGACATCAGGGACACCGGGGGGACACTGGGGACATCAGGGACAGTGCGGAGACGGGGACACCTGGGGACATTGGGGACAGTACAGGGACACTGGGGACATCAGAGACAGTCCGGGGACATCCCTGGGGACAGGGACACCGTGGGGACATCAGGGGGACACTGGGGACAGCGCGGGGACAGGGACACCTGGGGACATCAGGGACAGCCCAGGGACAGCCAGGACAGGACATGGGGACAGGGGACAGCCCTGGGGACAGGGGCACCAGGGACACTGGGGACACCTGGGGACATTGGGGACAGCCCCAGGACAGCACAGGGACACCGGGGACACCAGGGGGACACCGGGGACATCCCTGGGGACAGCGACACCGAGGGGACACTGGTGGGGGGGGCCAAGGGACAGGGACAAGGGGGGGGCACCAGGGACAACCAGGACAGGGACCAGAGGGACACTGGGGGGGACATGGGGACATCCTGGGGACAGCCAACCCCGGCCTGGTATCCCAGTGCCCCCCAGTGCCCCCCTCAGTCCCCTCCCAGTCCCCCCCAGTCCCTCCCAGTGCCCCCCAGTGCCATCCCCAGCTCCATCCCAGTGCCCCCCAGTCTCTCCCAGTCTGTACCAATGCCCTCCCAGTGCCCCCCTCAATCCCCCCCAGTCCCTTCCAGTGCTCCCAGTTTCCCTCCCAGTCCATCCCAGTCTGTCCCCCCCAGTTCCCCCCAGTCCGCACCTTGATCTTCTCCTGGTACACGTGGTCATCCTCCGCGTACTCCTTGTACAGCTCGGCCAGCTCCAGCCGCTCGGACACCAGCGGGTTCTGCACCGCGATCTGCGCCCGACCGGGGGTCACCCACCGGGGCTCACCGACCGGGACCCCCGGGACCCCCCCGGGATCACCGGGACCCCCCCGGGGCGGGGCTGGGGGGAACCCGGCGGGATGTGGGGAGGGGGCTCCGCACCTCCTGCTGGATCCGGTCCTGCTGCGCCATGATCGCCTCGTCGTAGGCCAGGCAGTTCACACCTGGGGGGACACCGGGGACACCGGGGGGACACCGGGGGTTAACGGGGGGACACCGGGGGGTCCCCGGCGGCTGCTCGGCCCCACCGGGAGGGGCTGGGGTGCCCGCGGGAGGGTCCTGAGTGGGGAAAGCGGGGGGATCAGGGTGGGTTTGAGGGTTCAGGGCGGTGGGTGCGGGGAACCGGGGGCTCTCTCGGGAGTAACGGGGCCGCCGCGCGTGGGAGAAGCGGGAGGAGGGATTCCCACGGCGAGGGTGGCGGCCGCGGGACGGGGATGGGTGAGGGGGCTCCATCGGTACCGTCGGCATCGCTGCCGCCCAGCGGCTCCGGCTGCGGCTGCTGAGGCTCCTCCGCCGCCATCGCCGCCCTGCCCGCCCCGCGCCGCTTCCGGGTCAGCGCCCGCCGCTTCCGGGGCACCGCCCGCGCCCCTTCCGGGAGCGGGCGAGGCTCCGCCCACGATGGGCGGGGTCTGTGCGGTGGCCACGCCCCTCTCCCCTCATGGCGGCGCCGCCCTCAGGGAGCGATGGCGGCGCTGGGGAGGGCGGGGGAGCCCCGGGAGCCTCCGGGATCCGCGGTATGGGGCCCGGGAGCCTCCGGGATCCGCGGTATGGGGCCCGGGAGCCGCCGGGATCCGCGGTATGGGGCCCGGGAGCCGCCGGGATCCGCGGTATGGGGCCCGGGAGCCGCCGGGATCCCCGGGATGGCCCCGGTGAGGGCGGCGGGGAAGGCCCGGGAGCCCCCGAGAGCCCCGGGACGGTCCCGGTCAGCCTCGCCCTGAGGGTCGGTGCCTCGGTGAGCCCGGCGGCTTTGTGGTTTTTCAAGGAAAAAAAAAAAAAAAAAAAAAAGGAAAGAATTGATTAGTTTTTAATTGGAGCAGGGGAAATAGCGGAAAAGCGCCGGTGAAGGGGTTCCCCTCCATCTGAACGGGTTAATGTGGGGAAAAACAAAAAAGGTTTTGTTTGTGTTTAAAATCCTTTTCCTCTCCCTGCCCGCATTTCTCCTGGGGTTACGAGGACGAACTGGGAGGGACTGGGAGGGACTGGGAAGGTGAAATTGGTCCTTGTGGAGCAAGCCTTGCTCCCCCGGCGCCTTCTGTGGCACCGCCCCGTGCACAGGTGTGCCCAGGTGTGCCCAGGTGTCCCCCAGGTACCCCCAGGTGTCCCCCAGGTGTCCCTCAGGTGTTCTCAGGTGTCCTCCAAGTGTCTCCAGGTGCCACCCAGGTGCCCCCAGGTACCCCCACATGTCCCCAGGTACCCCCATCTGCCCCCCAAGTGTCCCCAGGTGCCCCCCAG